GGTCAAATGAATGAGGCATGATTTAGAAAAATATACAAGAAGGGCTTGGAAGCCAGACTTCTGTTGGCAAGCACCTTTCCATCCTTCAACCTGACTTCTGGAATGCTGTATCTGGTTCCCTGATGGCCTTTGAACTGGAACAAGAGTACACTCAATCTGATTTCTGGATGTTGGATTGTCTGCGTGGATCCTTGCCTTCTGAAGTAGGCCTGTGTTTTTCTGGAGCTCTAGTGTTCCTGCACTGTGGTGAGATTTATAGCTTCCATAAAGCAGTCTGATCCACATCTGAACTATACTTGACTCATAATTGCTGGCGCAGGAGGCTTGTTAAGGACAGACCTAATCTTTCCAGACTAACCTGATCTTATCTTTTTGATCAGGTAACTTCCTTCATAGATTGTGGGATTGCACACCCACGTGGTCTCTCTCGTTCTCTTTCTTTCATAGAGTCTTCAAATTATGGGAGGAAATAACTCCACTGGATTGCGCTGGGTCAGAACCCACCACAAGTCCAGTTGTGCACCACACTTCAGGAAGGATTCAGGAATTCAGACGTACCAAAACAGGTTCAGAAAAGGGCAACAAGTATTAGCAGGGGATTAGAAATGAAGGTTAAAGACATTGGGAATGTTTAGACTTGGGGAGAGAAGGGTGGAGAAGAATATGTTGCACACTTCAGGAACTAGAAGGGATGTCACACAGAGTCATGTCCAGGCCTCTCCTGCATTGGCCTGGAGTGCAGGACACCGAATCATGGATTAAAATTATGGGGAGGGAGATTTCAACCGAATGGGGGGAAGAGGGTTTTCCTAAGAATAAGTGCAGTTTGGAACCAATTACCAAAGAGTTGGTGGCCCCCTTTCATTTGATACATTTAAGCAGAACCTGGTCAGCTATCTGTTGGGAATGTTTTAATTTGGATTCCTGCACTGAGCAGGGGTGAAACCAGATGCTCACTCCAGAATGCTAGGAGTCTCTCTGCTCCTGGCTCGAACACCTTTGTATCTAGGTTGCCATGTGTCTGGCTTGAGCAACTCTACTCTGGCCCACAGCGAGCGGTCCATGGTTCTGCCTCCCTCCCTAGGTGGCTTCTGAGATGCATTACAGGTAGTCCTCACTTAATGACACTAACTGGGACTGGCCACTCTGTCGCTAAGCAACACAGTCATAAAGCGCAACATCACGTGATGATGGCAGTTGTGGAAGTTCTTGTTGCCATCGTTAAGTGAATCCCATGCAGTCGTTAAGTGCAACGTTGCGTGATCACCATTTGTGACCTCCTGCCAGCTTCCCCATTGACTTTGCTTGTTGGAAGCCTGCAGTGAAGGTTGCAAATGGCGATCACATGACCACAGGATGCTGCAACCATCGTAATTGGGAAATGGTTCCCAAACGTCTGAATCGCGATCACATGACCATGGGTATGCTGCGACAGCTGCAACCACGAGGACTGGTCATAAGTCTCCTCGTTCAGTGCCTTCGTAACTTCGAATGATCGCTGAACACGTGGTCATGAAATGACTATCTGTAGTTCTCTCTGTGAGCCTGTTTCAAATCAAGCTCTGTCTTGGGGAGGGCCAGCAAGATGAACATGAAGACAAGAAGTTAGGGAAAGAGACCTCTGCCCTTGGCACACTTACCCGGCAGCTGTCCATAGTGGCTTCCTCGGATATGGCACAGAGGTGTTCCTCTTTAATGCGCATGAAATACTGAATAGTGCTGTTGCACGCATCTCTGGTTATCAGCGACACTTGGGCCTCTTGTAGGATGTCCGAATATTTGGCACCCCCTGCGAGCAGAAGAGATGGTTGTATCTCCCCACCATTATCCAGTGCCATTATCTGGAGGCTTGTGGACAGCACCCTGACCGCAGCAGAGCTCCTGAACCCAGGTTTCAGGTTCAGTTGGAACAGCTGACAGTCAGAGAGCAATTATGGGAAGTCCCTCTGTTTATATTCAGATTGTGTTCACATAACACCATTGACCTTGTTATTGAATTAAGTCATGATCTGGCTTCACACTGTGCACTGAATCCTAAACTAACAAGGTTGGGTTCACACAACAAACTAAGCCGCCCCCATCCTTCTCCCCAATTTAAACTAGCCAAGCTTAGAATGTGATGGAAATGGCACCATTAACTTTTTAACCTGTTCAGATGCGTAGTGTGAGTGCAGCCAGGGGGGGCACGGCTTTGGTCTTCCCCAGTTCTAGTCCTGCCCTTTAAAAATGTGCCCTGAAACTCAAGTTCAGGTCAATTTTATCTACTCAAGAAAAGCGTTTTCTTTCAATATTATCTTTGGCTCACCAAGGTCTCTCGTTGGGCTTCTGCCAATCACCAAATCTGTCAGAGAGAGCCAGCGCCCCAAAGCAGAGACAGATCCTCAGCTCCGTTCCTTAAGAAGGAGACGCATGCAAAGTTTCCTGAGGCCAGGAATGGCCAAAACTCTGGGTCACTAGAGGACAGCTGTGTCCTTCCTGCACTCACTTGACTAAATGATTTGTAGGAATGCCATCAGAGATGGAATTTCCTCAAGGGATGCAGGGCACTCTTTTTTCCTGCTCCTGCTTCTCCTCTGATATTCCTCTGCCCAACGTAGGACCCTCAGCACCACACCGTCCTCATACTTTCCAAGTCTTTGGTGTGATGCCTTCAAGAGCTCCTGACAAATGGTTGGGTGACTCTCAGGCTTTCCTCCAAGCTACAGGTTGACCGTTTGGTGGGGAACTGAACCTATAGCATGCCTGGAGCCCCCATTTTTATAGGGATAGGGATTGGGGGTGGTCTCCTGGCTCTCACTCTTTATGTTCGTGATACCCCAGCCACAGATATAGCAGTGGGTGAGTGTGTCTATGTCCAGATCCTCATCTGGCAAGCAGGCTGGCTGGACATAATCGTTGCAAACCACAGGTTTGTCCAGCTCTATCAAGGCAATGTTATTCAAGTTGTAGTCGGGGTTAAACTGAGCGTGGTCGACCAGTCTCTTGATGACACGGTTCTGGGAATCAGGCCCAGGTTTGGAGCGCTGGGTGGCCCCAATTTGCACTCTGAAGTACTCCACTTTTAGGTACCTGGGTAAAAGGGGAGACAGGAGATAATGTTATAAGACCCATAAGTGAAGTTTTAAGAGGAAACATCTGGGCCCAAGTATAGGAATGGGAAGGCAAGCTGCAAATTAAGTCCAAGAGAGCAAAAAGGGCCACCAGCCCCGGGGCGTGGGGTGCCAGGATGCCTAGATCCAGGAGAGAACCAAGAAGCTTCAGGATCCAGACCTGACCTCTTCCACCACCTTGGACCAACAATAGTCATTGCGGGGGCGTGGTGAGTGTAGTATATCTCCGGGAGGGGTCTTGAGGAGCTTAATTTTGCTTTGCTTTGATGAAGAAACTCTCAGTGTTTGTTGGGAACCTTAATGCCAGGGTAGTATTTCATTTAGAAATCCATGAGCCTGCTGAACATGAGAATGTATGTTTCCCAATAAATAAACCCCCTGTCCAGCGGGACTGGGCATCGTTCCCCTTTGTGCAACCCTCTGCTCCTTGGCCAGGCAAAAGCCTGTGACCCTTAGAGTAAGAAGGACAAGGGGGAGGGTTGGCACTTGGCCCCTACGGTCCGTGAATGGCGCGTGAAGGCCCATGAAGGGGGCAGGGGAAAATGTGCAAGACTAGTGGCCGCGAAGAGTAGACTTTCCCAGTGGCAGCCTCCCCCCAAGCCCTGGAAGGCCCACCCCAGGAAGGGTCACCCGGCCCTGTCCTTTTGCCTTCCTGGCACCAGGCAAAGACAGTTTTCATCTGGCCATGTAGCAAGTTATATTTAGATTTGCACAGAAACTCTGTAGCTCCCCTGGCTGTTGCAGCTGGCATTCCTATTTCTAACTGTCCTTTGGGGTCTGCTTTTTTCCTAATTCACCTTTTTTTTAACACCTCCTGTCAACCCGACCACCAGTGGGGGAGGCTGGGAGTTGCAGTTCAGCAACATGTGGCAGACCCCTGGTGCCCGTCGGCCTAGAGAGACCGGTTTCTAATCCCGGGAGACCTGGACCTCCTGCCCTCTGCTTAGCTGGCGATCCGGTTTTGCTCACTTTTGAATGATGAAGCATCGCGCTGTCGAAACAACCCAGCGAGAGTTGATCAGGGAGCCGGCGCAGAAGTGGCGGAAGCCCTCCCGCGTCGGGAACTGGAAGCTGACCGCCCAGGGCCACGTCCCCGGCAGCGTATCGGTCCCGCCCACGATCCTCAACAAATTGCCATGGCTGATGGCTAGTGGTCGGCTTCCACACACCCTCCTGCAAAAAGAGATGGGCTGATGCGCAGGTGTCGCGGGCCGTTTCTTCCTGCAGTGAGGTGCGGCGCATCTGATGGCTGAGTCAGCCCTGCTAAGGTGTCCCTCTGCCAAGAACTTAGCCCAAATACTTCCTTAGCCCAGGAACAAGCCAGCACCCCAACATACCTGTTCCTGGAAAACGGGGGGGGGGGGGGCTGGTAGGGGTACCTTCTTTCCTTTTGGGAGGTTGGGGGGGGGGGGGGGGG